ACAAATTAAAAGTAATGGTTTATGAAAACATGTATATACCGATATACTTTATATATACACACACATATATATATATAGAAAACCTATATACCTTTATTAAAAAATAATAAAAAATGAATACATTTTTAATACACCTACATTGAGAATATTCTTTATTTACTATTATTTTCGTACTTTATCTGACTTCGATGTGCAGTTCCACAGAATTTGAGAAAAATTGATAAAAAAAAATCTATACATTATTATCACTTTCAATTGAAATACCGATAAAATTTAAAATAGTTTTTTATAAATTTGTCCTTAGATATATTCAAGCATATTTTGTGCTAAATATGAAATTTTGTAATATAAATTGTAATTTATTTCTGTATAAAGAATGCATGATCGCTTGATTGATAAAATTATAAAAATTATTTCAATATGCATAAGTAAAAAATTTAATTTTATTCTAGGGTAAATAAATTTTTATCCGATTAGAGAATCGTAATTTGATAAGAATCTCCTTCTTGCAGCATTTAGAGCACTTATATAAAGTCCTCTCATCATACTGGACTAACTGCTTTATCACTCCAACATTATTAGTGCAGACTTGAAGTGGCTCTCAACTGCTGCAACTACTTCTTCTTAGTTCCTCAAAATCATGACATTAGTGGTCGAAGAACTACCTTATATAATGATCTTGAGTAAAGCCTTAACGAGCGTACTTTCCATCTTGACCATTTTCGTCGGAAATGATGACGGAACGGTGGGAAAGAGAATAAGAAAAGAAGAAGTGTGCATTATTGCTCTCTCTCTCTCTCTCTCTCTCTCTCTCTCTGTGCGTGCGTGTGTGTGAGTGCGCGCGCGCGTGTGTGTGTGTGCGTGAGAGAGAGAGAGAGAACTTATTGTGGATCTTATTGAAATTTTAATGTAATTGATCGGCATTTCTATGTATCCATCTCAAACTAAATTATTTTTAAATTAAAAATTTCATATACTCAAAAGCTTTCACAATAATCAAATCATAAAAAATTAGGTAAATATATTTGAAAATAATTTAGATAAATCTATAAATCATTTTAATTAAAAACTCTTAATAACAGCAATAAATAACAGTAAATTAAAACTTATTCTTGAAAGTTATTAATACGATATATTAGTATAATCTTATATATAAATTAGAATTTTCTAATAGTTCATCGCGTGTATAATGAAAGTTCTTATTGGAAGTAAACTCCATTCTAAGTGAACGCTGAATCTATTAGAAATTAATCGACACTTAGAGATTCCTCTACGATTGAACTACAATCTAGAATTTATTATTTTATTTCATTATGTTTTCATCAATCGACCATCACATAGAAACGATATTATCTTTTCGATTTTCTTTCGAACTTTGTTATTACGTGTTTCTACGAGCACAAATTTCGATAGAGTAGACGACCATGTTTGATGAAAATTAGTTCAAAATTTATAGAATCATTTATGAAATTAAAATTTATACCGACTGAATATATAATATATAATTCAATTTCAATTTAACAAAATTAGTCAAAAGTTGGACTTATGATAAAATGAACAGAATCGACAAAATTAAAGGGTACTTAATAGTTCAATGTTTGAGCTAAGATTTTTACATTTTCCTGGAACAATTTTATCTATATATGTATAACTTTATTTTTCACATTAAACGTAATTAAGAATTGTATAGTTATTTCTAAAAATTACTAATAATCTGTTATTTAAGTACTTTATTTTTATTTGCTTTTGTGTATTCTGTATATTATTTTTATAGTTTATAGTTACCAAGATGAATATTAAATCCGAATCATACTCAATTATATAAGTAATATAGTGCAAACATTTATAAGAAAATTAATATATATAAAAAAAAAACATCGTTCCCAATCATACGCAGGAATATTTCCGTCTTAAAATATTTAAACTTCATGCTTTGCTCTGGAAACCTATAACCATTTTTCTTGTTCAACCTTTCCCTTTAGAGATAAAAAAAAATGGCACACTAAATAACGTACAAGAAAAAAGAAAAATATTAGAAAAAATAGTGTTTCTTTGAAGGTTCGTTCATCTATTATTACTTTTACCTTTTCAATTTCCAAATAAAATTTTAATTTCCGATTTTTCTCACTCTATTATAGAAAATGTTGTACACGCAACAAGAAAAAGAAAAATAGAGAAAAAAAATAAACAAGCCGTAAATATATTTCATGTGGCTTAAGAAAATCATTTCTCTTACAAGCAACTAAAGCGATTGATAGTTGGCGAAAGCTTTTTCTGTCGTCGAATTTTGCATACTTCTCGGTTTCTTCTAAACTTGCGAAAATACCTCCGGAAAGCGAAAACTCTAGCTGTTACTCAAGCGTGTAACGAGAATACCACGAGTGTCAATACACGTCAGCCATTACCTTCACTTACACGGTATTCGAGCTCCTCCGTGTTAATTACTGTCGCTGACTAGAACTGTTATTGCTTTAGAAATTAAAGAAAATGAGACAAAGACTAACGCAAATACGTGAATATGCAGAAATGCCGGTATGCATGTAGATAAACGTTTCACATTCAACTAAATAAATACAATTGTTTTTCAATAAGATTATGTTTATTATTTGCAGCATCTAAATAATTACGTGTAAATTAAAATATTGCATTATTATATTACTGTTATTTAAATAAATAGATAAATAAATACATATAAGTGTTTGTGTGCGTGCGTGCGTGCGTGCGTGCGTGCGTGCGTGCGTGCGTCCATCCGTCCGTCGGCGTGTGTGTTTGTGTGTGCGCGCGCGAACTTAATATAATCTATCATTGAAAAGTAACGATACTTTTTCTCAAAATGTTTTTTAATGAAATTCTAAATTTTTCATTAAGATTTAAAATTAAATAGCCTAAAAAATATGTTCTACTTTATAAAGTAATATTTTAATTTAAATTCATTAAAGCTAACAGATATATTAACACATGATATTTATATGATTATTATTATTGAATCATGTATTTTTAAAATTGTAAGTAAAGTCTTGTATTAAATTATAATATGTAAAATTTAATTTAAAAACAAATTTAATATTAGCCAAGGATAATAAGGATAAGGACATAAAAAAGAAAATATTAAAAAATTGACGAACAGTATATTTAAAATCCAAAGATTAAAAAGATTTATTAAGAAATAAAATGGATTAAACTATTTAAACGTGCAAATATATTAAAAGCATATAATTTTTAAAAAGTGTATGCAGATGTGCATGAAATTAAATTTCAGTTCGACCGTAAATTTATGTGCGCAAGTGCACGCATTTTTCAAGGGGCAAGAAAGTCATATATTAAGTGAATAAAGCAAGTGTAGAATAAACTAGTAAAAAAAAAAAAGGAGAAAAAGAAAGGAAATTGTAGAGAAGCATAGAGTAGTAAGAGTCTTGTTAAAGTGAAATAGAAGATAAAAGTCCATTGTCTCGAGCATACTTTAGTCGGTTATTAATCTAATTTTGTGAGTGAGTGAAATAATAAACATTTGTCGATGTTTCATCGGAAAGTTTTTTCATTTCTTTAATACACTCCGTCGAATCTTGTTCGTTTTCAAGCTCATTTTAATTCACAAAGTAGCATACTTTGTAATATTTAATATTCTAAACCTATATATATATATATATATATATATATATATAAAATATATACAATATTCACATATATGTATATGAATTTAGAGAATGTGATTTATGTTCAATATATGCCACCTATAAATGGTGCCGAGAATCATAAATGATAGATTTTTGAATGCTACAAAGATATTTGCCTTTATTATTTGTTCATATGTAACAGATTGTTCTATACTTTTATTATTACTCTTAATACTTTAATCTTAATTACTCGATGACTTAGTTTTATATTGTATTCTATTTATAGCTAAAACCATTAATTTTTTCACCGAGAATTTTAAATACACAATAAAAAAATGTGTGCTGTACTTTGTTAATAAAAATTTATTATAGCTTGTTATAGTAGCATATTTTTCAATTTTACACATTTAATTATTTAATGAAATTCAAATTATGAAATATAAATGTTTAATTTTCTGATCAAATCATAATATATCTATTAAGTGTTTATTTATAAATGTCTACTATGGTCTACTACTCATTCATTTATTATTCCCACTATCCACTTTTCTCCTATACTTAAAAATAAATTTAATTAATAAACATAAAATTAAATTTAATAAATATTGCAGGATGGAAGGAAAAAAATACAAAACAGTCAGAATAAAGGTGACTAACGAGACCGAGAGAATTTGAGTGATGGGGAATAAAATTGAAATAAGAGTCGTGCAAGTTAAATGATGTGAAAGACGAGTGAAAAAGCAACAGAAGTCAATAGATACTCGTGAACATAATAAAAGTTCGTGCCTTAAGTTTTGGTTTGTCCTCTCGAGAACTTTTCCTCCTTAAAGCTAAACTGATACGTACATAAATTCTAGAATCGATCGAGAAAGTAATGATGATGCATTTACGTAAAGTAGAATTTTTTATTTAATTTTTATTGGAACTGTAATCCAATAAAATAAAGTACTTTTAATAACCCAAGTTCATATAAATAGATAATGGATTATCTTCATAATAGAATTAGTATTAATTTTAGATTATATACATGTTAAAATTTTTGTTTTCTGTAATTTGTATAGAGTTGTATTTTACTTTATCACCATGATATGTACACTTAAAATAATCGTTAACTAATTTGTTGTGATTTTATATTTATGTATAAAGCTTCAAAGTCGTCATTTTATCTTGAATTTATTTATTTATTTATGCATAGATTCATCTTATTCTGTTAAAAGACGAACGTACTTTAATTAGTACATAGCCAAGTTTACTAAATATACATTTTAGTTGTACCAAAATAATTTAATGATTATAAATTTACTGCGTTACTCAATATTACGTATAAACCAATGTTAATGTCGATCGCTATTAATAAAAATTATATTTTTCAAAAATTTAGCTCACCTTCAGATCACCTTGATGATCGTAAAATGTTGTAGGTACCAAAGCAGCTTTGAGACGTCGATTACGGTAGAAAATAAAAGTTATGGCAGCCAATAACATCACGATAACTGTCGTTAATATTCCTATTATTAATCCAATCAATTGTCTTGATTCAGGCTCTTTACTTTTATCTGGAACTGAAATTTATTCCTACTCTTTAAAAAAAAAAAACTCATTGAAATATTTAATACACGTATTTTTAAAATTGGTGAAAATTATGATTGGTATGTATTATAACATTTTAGATACCAAATAATATTCATTCATAAATATGAAAAAAAAATTAAAAAAATCTTTTTAATCATGATTTAATAAAAAATTTTATTGTATTAAAACAGATTAATCTTTCAAGAAAATGGTCTCTTATATAGTTAATCATGAATTTATAATTATATATAAATATTTATCTGAATAAAGGTTTTCTGAAATATTTCATATTGTAGCTATTAATAATTTATTAAAATTAAAGCAAACTTTCACCATTATAAGAATTATAAATAATACTAATGCATATACGGATTTTTGTTCTCCCAATTATAGGAACAAACAATAGAAATATTATGCCAAATACTTTATTTTATTTTCAATGTAAATACTTTTAAACGATCTTTGATAAATATTATATAATCTAAATATGTTTACATGCGTAAGAGATATATTCTATAATATACAATAATTAACTACTTTATTAAATACTTAAAATAGTTAACTACTTTCATTTTGTGGTTTATATTTAGTTATTGTTTTTGTTTATAATTAATTATTTTAAATAATTTTAATTAAAAATTCATTTCAGTATATTTACAATGGAAGTGTCTATCTATATCATTATTAATACAATTTTTATTTCAATTTATGTTTGATATAAGATAAAGAATTTTGTAAAATTAAATTAAGCAAAAACTATAATATTTCATATCATACATGCAATTTCGAAAAAAACATAATCGTACTTTAATTATAAATATATTTGATGTATTATTTATTTAAAAGGATTATTTTATGAACAAAATACTATTAGATTAGGTGGAATATATATAAATATTTACATTATCACTAGTAAATTGTTGGATAATAAAAATATACTCAAAAGTGTTTCGCCTCGCTGTTAAAATAAAATCGAATGCCTTAAAATATTTCATAGAGGTTGCCACAATTATCGGATTTATTACATTCAAATGGATACTCACGATTTAATGTTTGGATTAAATTACGGAACACAATTATTTATAATTATAGTTTTCTGAAAACAGGGTTACGAAATAACATTAGAATTGCGTTCGTTTTAAAACTAAAGTTTTTACGATCGAATTTGACACAAGAGAATATTCGATACAGAAGCTTAATTTTTTAGATAGCAGTATACAAACTCATATCGATGAAAAAAGCAATATGGATTTTAAATATATAAGATGTTTTTCTAGAAATAAGAATTTAATATGCATTCTGAAAAATAGAAATATATTATAAACAAAATATTGGGAGCGTACATAACCCTCAAATCAACTGCTCAAACAAATTTGTAATTTATTATTTCAAGAATGGTACATTAACATAGATTAATGTATTTATATTTCATTTAGATTCACAGTAAAATAGTACATCGATGATATTAATTAATTAATTTAAATAATATTAATTTAAATAGAATTGAATGAAGGTAATATATCTCAATTACATTTGTATATGAAATTGAAGTTTTCACCATATATATATTTAGTACCCTCCTATATAAGTATTTGATAATTAATGTTATTGTGTAGATTAATGGAAAGTTGTAGATATAAAGTAAGTGTAGAAGAAATTTACAACTGACATAATTGACTATATAATATTTAAAATGAAATACGATTATTTAAATAATACGTATTAAATATTTCGAAAAGAAAAAATAAAACAGTTTCAATTGTATTTAAAATTAAATATTTAAAATTACTGTTCTTATTATTCATGCCATGATATTTCAAATATTCGATTTCGATTATTTAACTCTCATATTTACCCAAAAGAATATTTGTAAAAAATTAGTATTAATAAAAACACATAATCTTACGAATGCGTTAATTTATTTCTAAGAGAATAATATAAACAAAGGGAATATCGTTTATAATTATAAGTTGATTTTGCTTCAATAATTCCATATGTATACAAATTTGCACAAATATATATTTTCATATAGAATTTAAATACAACCCACCGAGTCTAAATTAATTAATTAGCGATTTTTTTCTAGGCAGCTTTGAACCAGCTGGTTCTACAATTATTTTTGTTCATTCGTATTACGAAAGCAACCCATCATGCAAAATAAGCTTAAATAAAAAACATTGAAAAGGAATTAGAAGAAATAGATGGAAAGTCAACTAACATCTAATAAAGATTAAATCATTTAAATATTTAAATAATAAAAAATATTTTAGACGTTACATCATACGTTAAAATTTCATATTTTTTATCTTATATTTAAAAGTGAAAATGATTTTTTAATTATTGATTTTAATAAATGAGTTAGCTGATATCATTCGCACTATTAGATATATATATATATATATATATATATAGTAAAGTATTACGTATGTATTAATTGCTTTAGTTTCCAAAGAGTGAACTTGAACAAGACTGTAATCTTCCAAAAACAAATATCTCTTTTGAAAAAGCAACGTAAATCATAGTATTAATATACACAATAGACAATATAAGAATCGAAAATAATTTTCTAGTCTAGAAATTTTAATCAATATAGATTTTCCAAGGTAACGAAGAAAAATTTATACCTTTACTAATTTTTATTGTTGGAAGGAGCAGTAAAATTACTTTATTAAGTAAAAGCTCTCGAGAATTTTTACAATTTGTAAAACTATTAAAAACAGTTAAAAAATTGCTAATAAAATTATATGACATTCAAATCAAATGTATAAGAGTTCTAGACTAATTCTAATGAAATTTAATAATTTGCAAGTTTCAGCATAATACGAAATTACATGTTTGATAAATTAATTAGTATTTTTAAAAAATGATACAATATGAAATATATATATATATTATTTACAAATATACATATATATTTAAAAAGAAATTTTAATCAACGAATGAGAGATTGAGAGTGTGAGAGAATATGGGGAAAAAGTTTTATTATGGTACGTAACATAAAAATATCTAATAATTTTAGTAACTTTATAAGTATAGTTAAATATTTAGCATAATAGATTATAATGTTTTTTATAAAATATTTATAAAATCGATAGTTTTATAAAATAAGAGTTTGTATACTAAGTTATATATTTGAAAGTTTTCTGATGATAAATATACAGTCAACTTGTAATGAAATTATCTATTAAACATTTAAACAGATTACACAACCTTTGATTACTGATTATTATTATTGTAAGTCATTATTTTTTCAATCCACTAAAGTTCTATATTTAAATAAAAAATAGTTATATTATTTACTAATAGTATATTTTTAATAATAATATAAAATACGTATACAAATTAATAATAAAACGAATAAAATAAAAGGTATGTTAATTTTGCTTTGAATTATAAATATTTTTTAACAGAAATTACTGAATTACTAGATTGCAAATTAATGAGCAGAAGAATAGACAATTATCAGTCGTATAACAAAATCAGAACAATAATCGTAATTTTCTTGATTTAGTAAACTCCTAGGCAACTTTGTTAAGTCTATATTGGTACAACAAATTGCTTCAGAACTTATAATAAAACAACGAAAATTCGTAAATATATAAAAAATACGCAATTTAAGAACTAACAACCTTAATTGTCTGCGTTAACTAGAAAATTGTCTTTGCTTATTCCGGTAAATATCCATATCGACAACAACTTCTATTATACATTCTATTTCTATTAATTATTCATCTCATTGTAAAGGTAAAGATTCGTTCGTCAATTCATATAAATTAATATAAATATAAATATAAATTACTTAATCATACTCTCATTAAAACATTTGTTATATAATAATTATTAGATAATTAATATTATAATTAATATTTGTTTTACTATGTGTAAAGATATCTAAAAGTAGTAATATACTTTAATTTTCATTATTTAATTCATAAAGGAACTATAAAACTAATATTATAAAATATTGGTAATAAAATTATTAATATCAATTAAATCATTTCAACTAGCTACTGAAGAAAATGTAATATATAAATGTAGTACATTCGATCCATTTTATAGTATGAATATCCAGGGTACTTTTTATATTTTTATAAATAAATCTGTAAACAAAATATCGTGATCGTTAATTTTTGAACAATTTTGTTTAGTTTCGTATATGTAAAGGAATGTAAAAATATTATTCAGCAATGATTACAAAAGAGAAACTTTTATAACGAATACGTTTTATGGCCTATCTGTAAGAAAATATTAATATATGTATATATACTGATAAGAATGTATATCCTCATGTTTTAGTGGAATTTTTAAAACTAATAAAATAATAAATTTACGCAAATCTTTAATATTGGAATACAATCAAGGTAGGTGGTACTTAACTAATGTCCTCATTAACTTTCTCAGATATGCTATACAATTTTTTCCTGTGAGATCAACAAGTTATTATAGATTTTCTGGTCTCGCTACTCACTATGTAGTATCTTTGATGAAATTCAATTGATTCGCTTGTCTCTTAATTTTCATAACTTCTCTTCGTATAATCAAATTAATATCCTTGACGCGCTTTCATTTATACTAAAAATTCAAATGCTTGTAGCAATAATTTAATAATTGTTATTTACAATGTCCTATGTATAAAAAATAGCACATTTACTAATAAACATGATTCGATACTTCTGTATACATTATGCGATTACAATATTAAATGACATTACGTAAATACAACATATCAATAGTATAATAAAATCGTTAATAATAAAAAATTAATCATTTAAATCATAACAAATTGAATTTGGCACTTAGGTAGGCAATATTTATTCCTTATCACTAAATCTCTCCCTCTACCTGTATACTCTATTTTCGAGATTCGTGAGTCACGCGATCAAGATAGTACATTAACTTACTCTCTTTCGTGGAAAATCATCACAAACGCAACATCATTATTATTTTAATTTGTCTGATAATCTGCCTCATTTAACATTGCAGAGATAATAATTGAAAACTTATCCCGTCATTGTACTTATAATAAATTATAAAAAGAGTAATATTTTAATTTCGATATTTTATACAAATCACGATTAATTTATATCACAAAATCCAAGGTCTATTTTTATTGTATTCAATTTTATTTATTTTTAATGGGCTAAGAAATTAATATGAGAATCAATACATGAAATAACATGGTTTTTAATACTACTGTAGTATTCATAACGAGATGAATTCGTATTCGATATTATTAAATATTCTTCATTAGTATACACGACACAACAATGCCACAAGTAGCATAATATTTGCTTTCCAATGCAATTTGTAATTAGAAATTCTTTCAAATATGGTATACGAACACTATGGTATATTTACTTAGTGAAGAGTTATATTATACATAGAGTGGACTACTTATTACAAATATCCTAAATGTTGAATCCACTAATAATGTTATCTTTATTATACAAGTTTATAGATAATATCTGAATACATAATAATTTCATACGTTAACAAATTTATCAATATTCAAGACGTACACGAAAATATTAACAATTTATCATCGCAGATTTTAGACTTTATAATAGCATTAATAAGTCAATTCTATTCAAATTATATAATTAAATATTCTTAATCAAACATATTCTATATCGCTATATTTAATGCACAACCGTTGCAAATCATTAACGAAGAACAATGAAATTTTGTTTAATGAATGTAATTTACAATACAATAAGAATAAATTATTTTAGTTCATTGTCAGAATATGTTTTTGTAACGGAAAACGACAAGCTATCACTCCTTATTGTCAATCCATGATTGAAATATATTTTTGTTCAAATGAAACAAATGACATCTTTTTTAGACATTGATAAAGACAGTTAAAAACCCACACGAACACGCCTATACACGCATGCATACAAAGTAACCCTAGCATACCGATATTACCATTAGTAGAATATTATATATTATATTATTATAATGATTAAATTTATATAATAATTATTATCATAAGTATACTTAGATATTTTAATAATAAAAAATAGAATATTAGATGACTCGTATTTCATGACATATTTGGCTTGGAATAATTAGAATAATAATTTGTCTGTAAACTAAGCAACTGATTAAAACATTAAAATTTGATGAAATATTATCGCGAATAACATTAGTTATCTTAAATATTATAATTTTAATCAAAACAAAAACAATACGTTAAAGCTACTAATATTGATCATAATAATTATGAAAGAATTATGAATTATAATGATCTATATAAATATGGTAAGTAATATTAATTATTGTATCATAAATAATGTTAAATTGAATTCTAAATATTATGTTAATATGTATGACTGAGTTAATGAAATAATTTTGAAATCGGGAAAAATTTTAATTACTTTATTTGACGTTTAGTTACAAATTTTTCGTAGTTGCCAATAAGAAGAGCCGATTTCGATAATCAATGCTCAAAGTAACATAACATTAAAAAATATTATTCATCCTACAAAACTAAAGTTCTTTTCTCATGATTTACATAAACAGCCAATAAGTGATGAATTGAAGCTCAACAGATTTGACCGTCAGTTTCTATCTCTCCTAAAATTAACGGATGATTCGACAAAATATTGCAGTTTTTTCGAAACACCGCTCACCTTCTTTCTCATCCTCGCGAATCCTTCGCCAAGGGCTTTTGCACTCTCCTTTCAGCACGTTTTTATTACGTTAATGGCTCCATCGAAAGCTCGCGTGTCTGTATGAAAAAGTCTGAATTCTTGACGTTATATGTATGGCCAATCCCTATATACGTTCCCACGCCGATTTCAGCGAAAGTAAATACGCTTTCTTTGACGCGCATTTCCGCGCCGCGAGGCATAGAAAAAATACGAGTGCACGTCTTGCAAGATCCTTTCCCAAAAAGCGCCTGGAGGCAATATGACGGCAAAATAAGACAGAGCTGGTGAAAGAGAGCATCGATACATGTTTTACTAAATGAATTACCTCAAACCCTTAATATCTAATATCTATCCCATTCAATTGTAACTCGGATGTAGTGCACTTTTTTTCTTCGTCATTCCTATATGATATTTTTAAAAGCATTATTATACGCTTAAATGGAAAGCCTCTTATAATTATTATTACAGAGTTTATAATTAAAAACTTATATATCATTCGCCTAGAATGTATAAATAGTTATAACGTCAATATTGAACTTTGTGCGCGCGCGTGTGTTTACAAATTGTTTAATCGATCGGTACATTAGCATTATATATTCCTTCAGAAATATTATGTCTGAATTATTTTCAGAGGTTATTTTATTAGAATAAAATATGAAACATTATTGTTGAAACGTAACATTTAAAAATTACCTCAATAATTTTATCGCATGTTTAACATTAGTTAAACTAGTACATATTAATATTACTCCATTGAATACCCGAATGGATTGAATTTGATAAATAATTATTATACCATTCTATCAATAAATATTAATATTCGCACAGTTAAATTTTCATACAATAGACTTTAATGGAATGTTTTACGGTTTATTTCTTCTAATTCCAACTCTAATATCATCTTATTGCCTTTATCGTACGGTAAGTAAAAGTTTTAAATTTTTTGGTGCTGCCTTAAAAATTTAGCCTGTTTTTCTTTCTTTCCAGGTCTAATTACATGCTTCGTTCACAGTAATCTATATAATTTAATTATACTTACGTTTAAGTAAAATTTAGAGCGCCTTTATCTCATAATCGAGTAATTTACGACGTTTCGCGCCACTTGCTTCTTACTGTACATCAAGTGTTTTATTCAAGGATACAATAAATTAATTTTCTTAAAATTATATAAAAGATAATAGATAATGTTCAAAGAGCATATTCAATTTATCTAAAAAAAAAAAATCATTTCCTTCATATTCAGTAATATCGTATTTTGATATAGAGATAAATTTATTTGTTTAAAGATGAATTAAAAAGTAATATTGATTTAACGGTTCGCATATTGATTGAGCGATGCTAAAAACACTCAATTTAGATAATAATATCTCCAAATAGGAGCAAATAACCCTATAGTACAGCCATGAAGAATTTCCCTTCGCGTATAGTTACAATAGACATAATAATATTACAAAAAATAAAATGCCTATAATAAGATTGATATTCTCATATCTCTTTGTGGTTAGAAAGAAGCTTTTGCAAGAAATGAACTTACATGCACTCTCGTTTCTTTCGTCTTTGTTAAAGGTAGCCTTCACTTCGTCTCTTTGAAGAGGACCCTCATTATTCTGAAAAGGAGCTGCCGTCGTCGGTACTGTTGCGTTTTTTGTTTTGACTTCCTCCTCCTGGGTACTATTATTCCACTCGGATATAACTATAAATAAACATATTATCGTCTATAGTAGTGCAGCTAAGTCAATTGGTATAGTTAAGCGTCGCCGAAAAATCTAGTTATATTCATTTATTTTTGAAATATATTTTTTGCCCTATGAATAATAGTTTATTGCGAGTAATTAGTGTATTATGTGCGATAAAAAATAACGAAAATATAGAAATTTAATGTGTAAGTTGCAGATCAAGATCAACTCAATATTATAAAATAATTCCCTCTTATTCTTTCGATCGATGGAAAATATTTTCAAGGTACGAAATGATAATTCATGCGAGATCATCCTTTCATAAATCTTACACATATATGAAATGATATAAGAGTAATAAATTACATACGATTACTGTATTGAAGGTTTAATAAATTATAATGCTTAAGTATGTACAAATATGATAATATATTTCACAATTAATATGAATAAAATAATCATCAGTCACTGGTTTAATCTACTTTGCTGTAAATACTATTGGATAGGTATTATTGTTATAAAACATTATAAAATGATTGAAAATCTTAAATTTAAGAATTTTTTCATAAGAAATTGAGAATTGTAACGCCAACGATAATAATAAACCTTTATAAACAGCATCAATTACAATGTTCTCTTCTTTATTGCTAGGAATTTAAAATAAATACTGTAATGCCAAAATATAAAATATATTCAATTATTATTATTATTATAAAATATATAGATCTGGAATACCTTAAATGGATAAGAAATTTGTTTATTATTTAAAAAAAAATCTGTTTATAATTTATATGATAAATTTTTAATTGAAGATGTGATATAAAATAACGGTAACACGATTCATAAATATATCCATAAAATCAAACGTATTCCGTGTGCAAGATATTCTTTTCACAATGTACAAATTAATGATTACAACATCAAAGTAATTCATAACGATGTGATATCTATTTCCCTTTGCATTTAAAACTGCGTTTTAAATTAAAATATTTGTAAGAGATACAATTTTACGAATTCACTCTATTTGTTCATAAAATGCAAGAATAAAGAAAATGAAATTTTTTTGCAATATGCTTAAATATTTTTTCTCAAACAAAAGGGAAAATGCGTGTACCCGAGCAAGAAATTCTTTTACGCTTTCAGATTTTTATAAATAAGATAATCGAAATTATACACATTAATACAAATAAAAACGATTGTATTTTTTTTCATTTATTACTAAATACATACATGTGAAATATATAATTATATCCACAGTTATTAGTTCAATTTTGAGTTTTAATATTAATTTTAAACTACTTATAAAATTGCATTTCTAAAAAAACTAATTACAAGAACTATGAAATTAATTATTATTTACACGAAATTATCAAAATTATAAATTTATAATTGTTTTGATAATTTTAAGATTCTTTTTATAAAATCAATTATAAAATCGAACAACGTTAATTACGAATAATATATTTTCATATACTAAGGTAAATAAATATTACTAATAAATGACTTGGGTATACTATTTTTTTTTTTTTTTTTATTAACAATAGAAAAATTTAATATAGGTCATATTTTGTAAATTCCTTATATTTTTTAATAGTAGAATAACGATAATCAGGTTTCATAGTCTATAATGTTAAGATTTTTGTACGGACTGTATCTTGATACGGAAGATCTTGTTGCTGTTGTGTTGGTAGTGAATAAATTTACTTTTACTGGAAAATCCGAAGCCACAATAACAACGAATCTTTCTCGATTAGAAAAGTACTACATTCTACATTTGTTTTAGTTATTTATGAAGAAACTGAGTAGTGGGATCAGCAGTCAGTCTGTATTATAAAACTGTACTTTTATTTTTCTAAATGCTTTCTTAAATCTCAATTAATCTTTATTTAATTAAGGCTTTTACATAAAACTGAAATTTATCTTTATTGTTGCTCATATAATATTTCCATTATATGTTATATAAGTATTTGTCTATTATGCGTTTGCCCATGATTTAAAGATATTGAGGCAAATGCAAATTTCTAGTAGATATATAGTACTTTTTGTACATTGAAGAGATTATATTGCACCGATTTGGTTTACAAATATAAACTAATATTGATTTACATCGAATTTGCTTTACAAATATGCTTCATAAAAGGTATTGAAATTTATATTTTTTAAAAGAAATTAATCAAAAGATGTAAGTTTTCTTTTGTTTTATCAAATTAATCTTTCTCTGGCACTCCTAGTGTTACAAATTTTTTTCTTTATAAAAGCATATTCTTGGCATTTAAAATAGTTAATATGCACTCTATTTAGTATAAATTGAATACCAGAACTACGTGTCTCGTCTGACCTACACTACATTCTAAAATTGCCAAATCTTATTTACTTTATGCACGCCTCTTTCCATTATTCCAACATATGCATTATTTCGGCAATATTCGCAACAATAATTTTTAATAATATATTAAACAATCGTATAATGTAACAGACATACGTCATATAAAGTAAAAATATTCTAATATTAGGAAGAGACCAGCTCAAGATCAATGATATTAATGAGCGTACTACCCACATTACCTCGGTATTAGTAAAATCTGCTCCGATTGGAATTGTATGATCTGTATAGGGAACATAAAGCTTCACGCTTTATCCACATAATGACGTTTCATTTCCAGAAATTATTTATCACCCTTTATATGGCTCACCTCGGAGCATCCCAATCCATGCGTGATTTCGGATTCAATAACCTCCACGGAATGATCCAACATTTATAATAACGACTCCCTCCCATTCTCAGCTCCTTTTCACTGTACGCTTTCCGATATGACTGACTGACTGATACTCGTGAATGATGAATGGCGAACTGCTGTGTTTTTACCATCCGTACATATATAATACTTCTAGAGGAAGAGGCAATAGCTACGAGTTTTCTACTTGCTTTCTCTTTAAAATCTCCAATTCTTACATACTACTATACAAAAGGTAGTATTTTATGTTTATGTCGGCGTAAAGCTCTTCCCCTCTTCGTTGTACGTTCTACGTTATTAACTTTATCTTTATATGAAAGATGAAATTCGAAGAACGAAACTGAATTTGAAAGATTTAAAAAAATTATAATCGAATTAAACAATTTTCCAACTTTATCTTATGTCAACGATTGGTAGTATTGTAGCTTCAAATTTTTTTTTTATTGCTTAATCTATATTAATACTAATTTAACATATTATTCTCGATATCTTTATGTTACGAAAGCACACATACAATGGAAACACTTTAATATGCATTGAATTTCATTGTATGGATTTTATTTCAAAATACCCTATAATGTTATTTAAATTATAGACATTATATAGACGATTATAGAACTACTTATTTTGAAATTTTACTGAGATTTTATACTTAAATTTTAAAATAAATTTTATATATATATATATATATATATATATTAATAAATTTTTAACTGTATCTCAAGTCACATTTATATTTATATATATTTGCATTAGTAGAGTATTTCAGCTGTCATATAGATTAAAAAGATAAGTAGAATAAATAATCAATAAACAACATACAGGTTGTAAAAAAATATAAATGAATATTTCAATGGTGATGTAATTTTTTTTTTTTTTTGTCTAAACTAGGATTCACAATGGCAGCTATGCAAAAACTATTTATTTCGCGAATATAAATAAAATAATAAATGCAAAAATAATAATATACTATTCATTTGTAACTCGATACATTGAACAAGCATAAATAATCGTTTGGAATTTGTTCCATTTGAAAAGAATTTTTCGTATTTATTGTAGTTAATGAGAACACGTAACTACTCTCCTTCTCATTCATTAAGGACTATCATAGCTATTTTTAAAAAAGAAAACATAATTGCGAAAATATCAACTTTTTTATTTTGAATAATATGAAAGGAGCCGTTAGCACAATGGTTAATTCCATTGGATCTTATATAATTTTTCTTAATGAAACTTTCACTCCAAATTTTAATATCAGATTACAATACTAGTTGCTTTACAATTAAGTGATTAGGGAATTCATTGGGGAATAGTAATAAACAATATTTAAAGATATATTAATATCAGGCTCTAATAAACGAATATAAATGACAATATATATTAAAGCTTAACATTATGTAATGATTATTATTAAGTAAAATAAAAACTATTCATTAACCAAATAAATAGCCTGTGTAATATTAAAAAGGTGGCCTTGATATCTAAATTAAAATATCATCGTGCTGCCCTGCATATGCTTTACCTGCTCCAATTGCGTTCAGTAGCTATGCTCGAGTGATCCGATAGTAATAATGATAAAAACTCACCGGACTCGAAAACAACCTCGCTGAGCATAATCCATCGTGCAGCAAAGTAAAGCTGCAGCTTGACGCAGCGACCGGCTCGTGAGTGAAGCTTGATTGTGACGTCACGGGCCTGCTCGAGCACGAGATCCGGCATGTAAGAGAATTGCACGGGTTCGCCATTGAACAGATTGTTGCCACCGCTAAAATACACTTTGGCGTGGCTAAATACCTGCGCATTAATTCAACCGATGAAGCTTTTACGCCCTAACTCAAGCTTATATTATCAGTCGATTGTGTTATTATGAATCGCAAGGGCAAATAAATAATCTTTTTATAGATATCTTAAACAATGTCGCAGAATAAACGTTTATTTTGCAGTTTTATTAATAAGCAAGAAATTTATTTTTATTTCAAAATTATCATTGTGCATTATGAGCAGAAGAAGATATATAGTTAATCAACTGAAAAATATAAATTTTTAAGAGTATTAAGGCTTTAAGTTAATTTAATATTTAATGCTCGTAAAAAATACTTATGGCTATAAGTCAAAACATCTGTCATGTGTTGTTACAAAATTTAAATATTTATCTTGATATAATAGGTGCATTAGTAAATTTTTATATAAGCCACGTAATGTGATGACTATATATTTACCTGGACATCTTTAGTAAAGAAATTGTTGGTATGAAGATGCATTGCCGTAAAGTTTCTGGCGTAATCGAACTCAAAAGTTATTTCCACGGGTCGTCCCAACATATTCGGTGTGTCATTTCTCCAACCAACCCATTCATATCCTTTGCATACAAAAATAAAAAGTAAATCTAGAAAATATTCTGCACCCACATTGTATTAGAGAGCAAAGAAATTTCGATTGGTAAATTAATGGCAATATAATTGAACTGCATTTATATAACAAAATGAGTATTTAGATTGAAATTCGCAGAACTTCCTTTCAAAATAACGAGATCTCAATGAAATTCAATAAATAATTTTACTTTACGATATTTTAAGAAAATATGTTTATAATAAATTTATAGAAATAATATTAGTAATTAGTATAGATATTATACGATATTATACATAACATACTATAATATTAATTAATAATTTAAACTTATTTAGCAGTATATATTAGTAAATATACTAATTTATTAAAAAATATTCTAAAATAGAACAAATATATTGGAAAAATAATGTGAAAATAGTGCATAAATTAAATAAATAAATTTAAGATAAATGATCGATTGCATTGATACATGATTTATTTCTAATTCATTATGTACTTAAAGCCCGTATTAGGGACGTATAGGAAAGTATTTAAACTAAATTGATACTTTAAACGATTAGATTTTAAATTATTTCAAAATCAATAAAATCAAATTCAATGTATAAATGTATGAGTCATATAAATCATTAAAATTTTAAATAGCTCAGAGGATCGTTTTTATTATTTTTATCACATTATCGGATCGTGGTTTTGAGAATACGAACTGCGCATACATGAAAAATAGATAATACAGTTATTTATTCAAAAGAATCTTTAAAAGGATATTGTGTATTTTAAATAAAGAGATCCGGTAAGTTGTTCAGTTTTTTTGTTTTTCTTTTTTTTAGTGGGTATTCTTAGAGGGATAATACCAATTAATAATTAATGGCGTAACTAGGCAGAATTATAATACATAAATGAAATAATTATGCCATATATGTTAATGTAGAAAATTACTTAATATTATTTGTTTAGTACAAACTTTTGAATTATATAATTTATCTCGCCGTAGAATATTAATATAAAATAAAAATTATAAAAAGAACTGAAAAAATAACTAAATGATAAATATAAATTAATATAATAATGATAATATAATATAAAATAATATATATAATATATATAAAATATATATATAAAAAAAATAATAATATAATAATAATAATATAATAATATAATAAGATAAAATAAATAATAATCCAATTTAATGAAAAATATGTTGTGCGCGTGTGTGTAAATATTTATTTACTTAAAAGATAAAAATGTAATCGAAATAATATTCAGCAATTGTTCTAATAATAAAATAGTAATAGATAAAATTAAATAAAAAATATATTATTTATTAAAAATTATCTTCAAAATATGACAAGCAATAAAAGAAATAACATTGGCAAAGCTTAGGTACATATAAATTTAATCAGCAAATGTTCCAAAGTTAGTTCAAGCGTATAAGATAAGAGCAGCCTATAGATTGTATATACAAATGATTTATAGTTAAAGAAAATTTATTGATAAACTATAAAACGTCTTTAAAAACTTTGGATTCGAATAGAATACCACGGACAAGATTTTACAATTTATCTTGCAAACAATGTTAATTTATTGTGATTTTTTATTTAATAATCGAGAAACTTATATTTATTAATTATACATTTATCTACTTTCTACAAATACTATTAATGTTTTGTATAAAAAAAAATGTAATTAATTTGAATAATTTTTATTTATGTACTAACCGACTTTACATAGCTGTCCGAAAATGATGTAGATTTTATTGGCTCAAACTGCCAATGATTGGATAGTTTTATAATAATTTTCCGCCCGCGCTGGTCAAATGTAAATGCTAGGGAAGGAATTAAGTGAAAGAAGAGAATGTAGAATTATCCTGCGTTTTCGATGAATTTATGGTTTATTTTACAATTTATAAAACAATTACATTATTCATGTATTGGATGCGTCTCAAGTTTAATTGTAAAGATGCGATTTCTTGGAACGTTTCTTGTGACGGATGTTTCACTACACAAGATGATC